GATAGAAGCCGCCATAGAAGCCGCCATAGAAGCTGTGGGGTCCTCGTTGTTGAGATAACTCACTGGGTTTCAGTTCTTCAGGTGTGAAGAAGATTAAAGGGTTTTTGTAGCCTTTCATACCTTCATTTGCCTTCAAGCTGCTTTTTTAGAAGTTTTACTGCAGTCTGTTAAGTATCTACAGATCCACCAGGACACCGAACTAACCTCATTTTAAGAAGAAGAGATGTCTGCGCAGCTGTGATGTTGAAATTGTTGCCTAGAGTCAGGATGAACACTTTAAATGCAGTTGAACTCTTTTTCTTGCTGTTGACTGTGCAGAGTGCACGCATGCTCGACACAGTGTAGGAAATACGATTTAAAAGGTAAATTTAAATTCACAAGTCTTAAATGGGTGTTTTCAAATATAAGAAATTACACAGGGTGTAAGGATGAGCTACACCCACACACTGAGTGTCAATCATAAACACAGCAAGCTGGAGCAGCTCAGTGGAAAGAATCAATGTTAGTCGTGACTGCACAGGTAAGCATCCTGTAGCCAGACTGAGGCGACCGTGTTAAACATTCAATGTTTTTATCTCTAGATAACTCAGAAGCACCACTGCCACGAAGCTACAGCCTACCTGCTGGAGATGAAAGGAGATGTTCACGGAGCATTTGCTGTCTCATTAGAGGTAACAGCATAACATCAAAATATCAATTCAGCTGATTTATATAGCAACACTTGCACTTTAAACTGTGAGGTAAAGACTCCACAATATTTATGCTCTAATCGTAAACCTTTTTAACTCGAGACAACAAGCAATGACCTTACTGCCTTACTGCCCACTTTGTTGGGCTGCCACGCTGTCACATCCTTTTGACATCAGAGCTGTTTTAGTTCTTGGTGGCATCGAGGTGCTGAAACATTCGTCAGAGGTTCTGATTGATCTTCACACCAGGTCCTCTGGGCGGGGTGACTGGTTCTTATATGGCGCTTTTCTACTCTTCTGAGCACTCAAAGCGCTTTATACAACTTGTGCATTCACCCATTCACACCAGCACATTTTTCTAAGTGCTTTCTAGCTAACATTCACACACATGCATGTATCTCGCCCAAGGATATTTGGCTAGGGGAAGTCAGGAATCGAACCACCAACCTTCTGATCAGTAGATGACCTGCTCTACCGCCTGAGCTGGTCATCTGAGTATATTCAGGAAACCAGTCTGAGATTGTTTGAGCTTTGTGACGTGATGCGTTATCCTGCTGGAAGCAGCCAAGGGACGGGCAATACTTTGGCAGGATGTAGCATTTAAACAATGTTTAATTAAGCGTTGTGCGATATGACAAAATGAAAACATCTATTGTTTCATATTATACGCTGTTGTTTGTTTCGCGGCGTCGCAAAACTGTTTACGGCAATATTTTTTCATGGTCTGGATGGTCACCGCGTGGATGCAGGCACAGAGAAAACCAGAAAAATGGCGGCTGTTACAACTTATGTGTAGAAATGTATCGTTTAATGCATCGGTCAAAACACTCGACGCCCAGCTGAAAAGACTTCACACAAGCTGCCCAAGAGTCACTGAGCTGACAGGAAAAGCTGTGCTTTATATCGTTCTCGGGACGAGAACTGTGACATATCTGAGATTTCTGTCGTGTCGCACAGTTCTAACTTAATTGGTACTTAGAGACCTAAAGTGTGCTACACACAGGGCTGGATGGATCCATGTTTTCACGTTCATGTCAAATTCTGATCTTCCTGTCTGAATGTTGCTGTAGAAATTGCGGCTCATCAAATTAGTGTTTCCTGGCTTCTGTTGTGAAAAGTGTTGCCTCAGTTTCCTGTTCTTAGCTGAAGTGGTGCCTCCTGTAATCGGCTCCTGCTGTAGCCCTTTAAGAATAACTGGCTTTAATGAGCCGTCATCTGAGCTACTGTTTCCTTCGCATCAGCTCGATGCAGAATACCTATACTCCTCAGACTGCAGCATCAATGAGGCATTTTTGCTCAGAGAGTTGCTCACTGGGTAGTTTCTTTTCTGTAAACCCTACAAGATGGTTTTGTGGGCAAATCCAAGCCGATCAATCAGCCTGTCTGTCACCAACAACCATGTTCAAAGTCACTTTGCACCCAAACCTTCCCAGTTTCACTTTGAACTTCAGCAGCTTGGCCTGAATGCACTTAGCAGCACCCTAACCCTAACCTGTAAGTGGTATGTTGGTGTTTACACAGACAGTGTTTTTCATTGTGAAGTAAAACATTTTCATACTTAAAATAGTGAAAGACCAGGTTGTTATACTGCTGCTGTCTTATGGATGTAATTGCTGTGTCAAAAAGCTTTTTTGCTCTCTGTGAAGACCCTGAAGGAAACACTGTGTGCTCTGACTGCTGAGAGTGACAGTGGAGCGAAGGATGGGAGATGGGACGAGGCTGTAAGAACTGAATCGGTGCTGATGAAATTAAAGGAGTCTGTGAATGACATCATTGTCTTCTGTCATCGAAGTTGTCAGGGCCTGGACCAGAAACAGAGAGAGGTGGGTGCTGTGCGCGGGTACGCTTGCTGTGAAGAACTGGCATTGCTAGTTATTCCTTGTTTTCCTTATCTCACAGGTTCTCTGGTTTCCACTGTTGGACACAATGATGGCGTCTCAGAAACAAGTAAAGGGGCTCAATGCTAAACACACCTCTGATGGTAACAGTTTGCATGCATCACTACACATGTAAACAAAGATGCCTCACTATGACGATGCTTCCTCTCTAGTCTTTCAGATCTGTGCAGCTCTCTGATGGCTTTTTGTAAATTTAACACATTTTGTTAAAGTATAAAAAGCTACTGATGCTGAGCTCCCTCGGTCAGACAAACTGACCAGTTCTGTGATTCAGCAAAGCCAAAAACAGCCATTGCCTAATAACCTGAATAGGACGAGCTAGTAACCCTTTGTTCAGTGCAGTTTTATAGTGATTATAAGCTTGTGCTACGGCAGGAGATGGGACAAATACAACTACAGTGTGAAACACACTGTCAGGCCAGCGTTACACATCAACTTTAGGTTTTGATGTTGATGTTCAACCACAGTGGTGGAAAAACTACTGAGACTCTTTAGTTAAAGTCCTACCGCCTCATTTTAGACCAGTGGTCCCCAACCCCCGGGCCTCGGGCCGGTCCGTGAGTCGTTTGGTACCGGGCTGCGAGAGTTGAGGATCAGGTATGAAATGTCTGGTTTTCTGGGTTTTTCTCGGTTTTCAGCGTTATTTTGTTATCCTTTTTATCGTTGACTCAGTTTTCCTGGGTCTTTTGTGTGTTATGAATAAAGCTTTTTTCGGTACCGGTACTGGTTTTATTTTGTTGCATTTATCCTCAACACCTTAAAGGCCGGTCCATGATATTGTCGGGCATAAACCGGTCCGTGGTTGGAGACCGCTGTTTTAGACTAGAGCATTTAAAAATGTCAAATGATCCTAGTTATTTTGTCTGTATGTGCTCAGACAAAGCTCAGTGTGTTTACCTTTGTTTGATAGAATATGCAGCACTCCCTTAAAAGAACATTTCATTGACCCAGGACCAGTATTACCTCCTTCCCATTGTCCTTCCTGCCCGCTCTCAGGGTTCAGCAGTGACCGGTGGGTCACGTTAGCATAGCTCAGGAGATAAAGCGAACCCTCCACTGTTCTGAACACTGATGGTTCGATCCTGCATGCCAGAGCTTAGAGCTTGTATTAAGTGAAAAAAAGAGCCAATGGAACAAGTGAAAATTCTCCAGATCCAAGATGCACCGTCTCAAAACAAGTCCCCATATCTCACTGAAATGTTGCTCTGTAGCTGATTGTGTCTTATTTTAAGTGTGATGAGATATTTTGACTAGAAATTAGACAAATATACTTGCAGTGAACCCAGTGCAGACATAACTGAGTCTGAGTTTATTCAGTGAGAATGTCCGGGGGGGCTGAGCAGGGTGATGAATATGCTGTAGTCCTCAGCACTGACGGGCTAGCTCACTGTGGGGAGCTGATTTGACGACATGAACTTTGTTTCAAAGGAAATAAAACAGTTTAGCTCTAACTGCAGAAGGACCCGTGAGACTGTTTGAGCTGTGATTTTGTTGCTCATCAGAGAGAAAATTGTACAAGCGTTTTTTTGTTATTGTTTTGTTATTGAATCAGTTCTTGGTGTGGCTAATTCATCATGTCTGTAAATGTCTTAGTGCTGAAGGAGCTCACGATGAAGGTTCTCAACGCTATGAGCAGCTTCATTTCTTTACCTGCCATCATTCAACAGATCCTGCAGGTTTGTATGCAGTCTGTCCGTGCATCTATATGCACACACACACACACACACACACACACACACACACACACACACACACACAGTACGGTGAGAAATTCTTAAACCCTTAAAACCTTCATGTGTCTTGCTGCATGCTCAGTCATCCAGGTAAGTAAATGACGTGAAGGTGAGTCCATCCCACCTGCAGCAGCATCGCAGACCACGCCCTGCCACAATAATAGAGCAATTCTTTATTTAATTATAAACTTTGTCCTAATTCTGTCCTCTGTTTTAACTATTGAATAATAAAAAGGAAACATCACAAAAACACTTAAGGTCATGAAAATCAATTGAGATTTAGCGATTCAACGAGGCATCCACCTTATTTATCGAAAAGTATCGTTATCGGTGATACTGGCCCGTATTTACTTGGTATCGGATCGATACCAAAATATGCAGTGTGGCACACCACGACCTCCCAGCCCATTGTTCTTTCAGTGATGCTAGTTCAGTCGTTGTGCAAATGTGGAAACCTGCAGTCAGCTGAGACTGAGTCACCTGGATGAGTGAAACGTTTTTATCAGGTCCTCCGGCTGAAGGATGTGTTCATCCACCGTTCATCAGAACGGCTGCTTCTCCTACAGCACAATCTAGAATTTATTCCAGCATAACCTTTGCTCTCAGTCATGTGACAGTTGATTACAAAGTCTGTGACGGATCATGAGCCAGACGAGCTACTGCATCACTGACGCTCCCACAGAGAAAAGTTTCACATGAATTCCAGTCATTTGTAGTAAATACTCTTGGTTTCTTTGTGTGGTCCGACATCGCCCCAGTTTGATGACATTTAAATTATGTTAGCATTGAGTTTAATGCAAGCTAAGGCTCGTTTCATTATTTGGACTTATTTTACTGTTTAACAACATGTTTGTTCAGATTGGTCAAACAATCCTATGAACAGTAGCAGCAGTTTATACCAATACAGCAATTAATTACTGGCTGTGTTTACATCCTGATTTAGCTTAATCTTATTTGTCTGTGCCACAGAGCACCAGACGTATGGTCACACTGTTCACTGACACTGCGTAACATCAGACTGCATCTGCCTGCTTCTTTGTTAGGATCCAGTGTATGGCAAAGGCAAGCTGGCGGAGATTCAAGGCCTCATTCTGGGTATGCTGGACACGTTTACCTATGAACAGGTAAGACGTGTGTGTGTGTGTGTGTGTGTGTGTGTGTGTGTGTGTGTGTGTGTGTG